GCTGTCGAATATGACTCTTAATTTGCCAAGAAAAATGGTGTCGAATATGAGACAATGGCGTCGGATACAAGCGACATTAATCCTGCCGTCGGATACAACCGACACTAAATTCTGAGAAATTATGTCGAAAACAAGGACAATTCAGTCGTCCATAACCAACATAAAAGATATTAATAAAAAAAAATATAAAAACGACAATTTAAATAAACATAAACAAAACTAATAATTGAATAAATAATACTAAACAAAACTAATAATTATCCGCTATAATATATATTCATATATATATATATATATATATATATATATAAGTTCGTTAATTATGTCTATAATCTTTTGCTAATTATACAATTTGTAAGAAAAAGAAAAAATATACCTACATTCGACTTCCTTTTCATCTTCCTTAATCAAGTGCCAATCCTTCATCAAAGGAATATTTTGAGGATCGTTGACCTCAAAAGCAATAAACTTTGAAAAATGGCCACTATTCGAACTTATGCATTTTCCGGTGGAATCAAATGAACATTTTTGTTTTCCTATCCATTTTGGGATTCCACAGCTCCGAGTTCTCTGTTGAGGCATTGCTTCTTGTTAATAACAAAAAAAACATTTGTGATGCATATTTACAAAAACAAAACCTATATAAAAGCTCTAAACAAAGATCAATTTTCAATTTATGCATAATGTTTGATAAGGTATCTCAAGTCAAGATTCAAAATACAAACTCGATTTAATAACATAATCAAAATTTAAAACACAAACTGAACTAATACAAATAATTTAAAACGTACTGGTTTCAGAATGTTGCTCCCCGAATTGTTCATCCATAGTGATTGAAGGGAGAAGGAGAAGGAAAGAAGGAGGAGAGGAGAAGGAAAGGGGGAAGGAATGCAGCGGGGAGGAGAATAAACTGGAGAAGGGAGAAAGTAGTGGCGCAAGGAAGAGAGAGAGGGTTTTTATCATGTAGAATTGGTAGTACTGTCGGTTAAAACTGACAGCAATCTGCTTCTATAAAAAAATATAAAAAATTTATCCGACATACTTTCCTATTACCGTCGAATATAACAGACATCACTTTTTCCGTGTAAAGAATGGCGGGAAATATCACTCCCAAATTTTTAAATTCCTTCCCAAATTTTTTGTCACGATCTAAAAAAATAAAATTTGGTTTAATAAAATTATGCTTATCTAATCGTGATTATAACTATAGTAAAAACAAATTAAAAAAAAAACCAAAGATTATCAAAATTATGCTTATATAATCGTGATTATTCATTAAATTCAAGTTTTGTACATCTTCATACCAATTATAGAGAAAAAATATATTAATTTAACATAAATAAATATTTATTCGACAAAAAAAACATAAATAAATATTTATGTTATATTAAATATTAACTAGTTTAATGAATATATTTAATTGACCATCTTCCCAGCCTGACGGTGAAGTGTTTGTGCATGAGACATCTTGGTCTTGGGTTCGAAGGGGGTGTGCTTCTGCTGATGCCTTTGAATGTGATTAACAAAACATAAATATTTATAAAGTATTTGAAAATATATAATACAATCCGATAGAGGTAGTATAAAAAATTTGAAAATGTTTGTGTAGATATAATCGCCATAGTTAGTAACTATTTGTGTCAGATATAACCGACAGAGTTAGTATAAAAATTTTGAAAATATTTGTGTCGATTATAACCGCTAGAGTGAGTATAAAAAATTTGAAACTATTTGTGTCGGATATAACTGACACACCTCGACCTAGATCGAGGCATGCTGGCCGTCACTTGAGGATGACGTAGCCATGTGCACAGTGCGGAAGCAATAAAGATTTGAGAAATGCGAATAAATAAAAACCAACTGACTAAACAGTAGATAAGAATAAGTGCATAACGAAATTAAGTGTGACTAAACATAACCAGAGCGTATCCTAAGTGCAGTCCAGCAGGACAAATTCTAATTATACAATACCAAAGATGATCCTACATTAATGATGATCTGTCAGAACCACCGTCAAATCCTCGTAAGCCACCAACGATTACTCCTACCTAAAACCTGGAGGGGCGCAAAACATAAAGTGTGAGTGGGTAAAAACAAAGCTTTTCAAATCCATTTCACTATCAAAGTAGTACCCCTCGCCGTAAAACCTGTATAATTCCCATAAAATAGCATATACGATTATATCCCAAAATCATATTCAAAATAACAAATCCACTAAATATACCATGTCAAATCTCAGCAAGAAATAAGTAAGTCAGGTGCAATAAATCAATATGAAATAATATGTCAGCCGGAGTCACCTAAAGTGACCTGTATGGTTAGGTCCACAACTTATCAATCAAATTCTGCACACGAGTCGGAACCACCTAATATGGTTTGTACGACAGGCTAGATGTAAATAAATACGCTCAAGTGCTATAGTCATGTGAAGGTTGTGCGAAGTATCGCAAGTCACCTACGAGTCGGAACCACCTAATGTGGTCTGTATGACAGGCTAGCACCTGCCTTGGATCCAAGATGAGCGTGTGGTGCGGGAGGTGAACGATCACGTGAAGGCTAGATCCTATCCTCGAGCAGAGCACTAATACCGGGGTGCAGGATAATAATCTCAAAATATATCTCAGCACTAATGTACTCACTACCATCACTACCATCAATATACTCACCTGAGCGTCCACAGCGTCGAGCAACAATATATATATATATATATATATAACCATAATAATGCACAATTAAACATAAAGAGCATTTGACATGGCATTTCAAAGTATAAGATCATTTAATTAAGTTTTCTAGGAAAAATATCAAGTATATAGATATATACTGAAAACCAAAAGTCCACTCACTGATATGTGGAAGGGTCGTAACCCCCTAACCTTGCTTGACTGTGCTCGTCCTCAGGATAGGTCTCACCTATATGCGAAACAACTATTCAAACGTTATTTTTAAGCACATAAACTAAACTAGGTAATAATTTATCATACATTGCTCAATTGGGGTATTTGAATATACCACCGTGGCTTACTCAACCTCAGGAACAACCTCATATTTTTAGAAAAATTTTCCGACCACTCACGTGCGCGGCCAAGGCACGACCAGACGAGCGGCCCACATGCAGGCACGTGCCTAGCACACTGACGGATTCCCTAATGGCGTTAGGGAATATTCCGTTAAAATATAGAATATGCCGTTAAAGATACCTGACGCCGTTAGAATATTCTATCAAATTTGACGGAATATTCTCCTCGTTCTTCCTTGGTTGGCCGGAGTCTGGCGCCGGTCACCGCTGCGATCGCCGGATTCTAGAAAATTTTTAAAGCTTCATATCTCTTCCATTTCTCAACCAAATTCGATGAAATTTGTACCAAAATGAAGCTTACAACAAGTAGAACACATTCATACCACTTTGGGGACCTAAATTCATCGGAAACTCGCTGGAAAAACTCAAGGAAACAGGCCAAATCCTGCAACTATATAAACCCGATTGTTCTTACGTCAAAACCACTCCAAAATTGATCCAACGTGCTAGAAAGGCAAGAATAATACCTTCTTAGGTCTCAAAACAACTTTAAACCTTCGCGATCATGTCGGAGGAAAAATCACCCCTCGCCGGAGTCAGGGTATCTTGAGTTCTACAAGCTCTCACGACCAACTAAGGGTACGAATCAACTCCTGGGCTTGCAAGGAACATGAAAACCACCTTTACAGTCTCGATCCGTGCCTGCAAAGGTTGGTTTGAAGTCTGTCTGTACAATTGTACGGAAATGGAAAGAAGTCCGAGAGGGAAGGAGAGAGAAAAGGGTGTATGGTCCTAATTGGTCACCATACAAAAACAAATAAAATCTTAAGTTCCAATTGGGTCCAAATCTTTAGGAAATGAATTAATTGGTCCAAAACCTTAGCCTATACACACACACACGACTCAACCATTAAAGGGCATAATAGAAATTTCCACGCTCTCGAGGATAAAATAATATATACGTTCGAGACAGACTATCACATAATTGCCAGAGATAGTATAAAAATTTCAAAATAATATAATATAATTTAACACATTACTTACTCATGGCGGATATATCTGCCAGCATTAGTTAAAATTATTTTAAAAATAAATCTGGTGGAGTTAAGGGCCCGGTTCATTATTCTTGTTGGATATATCCGACAGTAATACTTTGTTATCTGACACTTTTTAAACATGTTGTTGGAAATATTTTATTCGACAATAATAGTATAAAACCGTCACCACTCTCCGACAAATTAAGCCAATTTTGTAATAGTGCAACCCGCGCCCACCCCTAAGGTTATTTTCACGAAATATCAGCTTGAACCAAAATGAATACTACGACTTCTTTAACCTTTAATTTGGCATGCCGCATGCATAGATATTGTGGTTTTTTACTTTTTTAGGGGGTTTAATTGAATTATTAGTTTCCGTGGTGATATAGTTTGTTAGGATTTAGGCCCAAGTTTGAAAATTCTGTCAACTCTCCGTTTATTATTAGCACATAAAGGCTCACATGTGAGACTAACAAGATAAAGTTAGCCTTACATAGACTCACGTGCTAACAATTGACGGAGAGTTCCGTTTTGGCCTAATATACGGAGAGTTCCGTTTTGGCCTAATATATATGGTCCACGTGCTAATAAAGTTAATGGAATTTTCAATTTTAGGCCTAAAGCCTAACATATTTTAAATCATAGTTTTTTTACAATATGAACTATCTTCCAACTATCCTATCACCACGGAAACTAATAATTCAATTAGACTTTTTTTTTCCCCAATGAATATTGTGGCTTTTGGGCAGGACAAAAACAGAATCTTTTATTGATTTTAACAGTTCGTAATACTCATATTTATTGATTTTTTGCACATAGGATTTATAATTTTATACATAAGCAGAAAAATCCATGAATCATAACAAAAGCCAGACCCAAAAAAATGATACAGAGCTTGTTACGAATTCTGAAGCCACCTCTTGAGGCCATCACACAGAACTGTAGAGATGTTACGTAAACGTCAATTGCGACAAAAAAAAACTTCAACATGTTTCTGCAGTTTATCAATGACATTTGAGTGTGAGACTGGAACAGAATTTATTTTCCTGTCATTTTCATGAAAAATGGATAACCATTTATGGTGCATCCTACATTCATCATCATTGTGTATGCTCACCACTTTATTTATCACCGTTAGATGAGTTTGAATTTCGAGATTCGTGTAATGGATAAGAACAAATCTCAAAATTCAAACTCATCTAACAATGATAAATAGGATAGTGAATATGCACCACACTAAATGGTAGTGAGGAAAAATGCACTCCAAGTCAGTGTCCCACCCAAATCGCTTCACTTCCTCACGAGAACGTATAACACAACACGGCTGCTGCAATATTCTGGATGCCACTGTCTCTGGTCCAAACGCCCAATTACAAAATCCTTCATTGCACACTCCAAGAAGTATTCAAGGACAGCATCTGCACCAGGAAGAAGAATTGAAAACAGTACAGGAAAAAAAAAAAAAAAAAACTAATGAAAATTGCTCAAAAACTTTAAGTTTAAACGATAAGGACAAATTAAAGGGTAAAGTGAATAGTACAAGGATTGACTTTCTAGTGTAAAAATGTGGTTTTAAAATGAACAGTACTGTGAGCTTTTCGTTAAAGTTCCTATAAAAAACAGAAAATAAAATTTTAAAAAAGAGCAATTATTACCATTTCGAAGTTCTCCAGCCAAAAAGATTGTCGTTTCACCTCCGGAGAGTTGCTGTAATGCAGACAACAAATCCAACACTGCTTCCTCACTATAGATTACATCAGAGCCTAGCACTGGTATAACATTTTGGTAAAAACACACATTTGACATAGTATGGTTTGAGCATTGATAGTATTGAATGTAGGTTTACCAATTACCAATTCACTCTGACTAAGAAATGAGCAAAGAAAACAGAATCCTAATTATTGAGGACAGTCCTAAAATTCAACCGCCCTTTCTTGGGTGTTCTAGGAGAAGTTATTTTGCTTTCAGTTAGGCTGTTGAATTCAAAGAGGTCGCACTTGGTGCGATGGCAAATGCCTTCGCCCATGAGCGGTAGGTCTCGGGTTCGAGACTTGGGAGCAGCCTCTCCATAAATGGAGGTAAGGCTAGCCGACATTCACCTCTCCCAGACCCTGCGTAAAGCGGGAGCCTTGTGCACTGGGTACGACCTTTTTAGGCTGTTGAATTCAGCATAACGCTAGGATTAAGACCAATTGAATGTGATTCTAAACAGAGACCTCTTAATTGGAATATCACAGAAACTTTGACCATAAAAGATTAGTTCCATTCATTTTCAGTTCTTTAATCTCAAAACCAGACCTTGGTTCCTAACATTTATGTTGGTAGCATTATTATTACCAGTTAACCATCCAAAAATTTGATGTGCAGCACTGCAAGGGAATCAACATCGTTATATTACTGCTTTATAGGAGAGGGAACCAACATTGTTACCCAAATCAGGTGGAGGTTCAGTCAGTTCTGGATCAGGATCATCTCCCCATGTGAATTCCATCACTTTAGCTGAACCTCGCATGTTTCCATGTCTCAGGTTGACTTCAATGTTCTTTCTCAGTAGTCTCAGTCTATCAGGAAGATCCGTGAGCACAACTTGACCGCCTAGAAGAGCAGCAATGCAGCTGGAAGAACAAAGAAAAGAAGTGTGGTATACAGCGAGTAAGAGAACCATTATTTTCAACCTGGCCTATAAGGCCATAAATTAGAATCCAAGTCAAAATCTACATGTATGTTAACCATCTCCGGGGAGGTAGACATATAAATGCCAATTATATCTTGTTAACATGGCCTACAATCAACCCAAACTGCAAACAACTAGAGCTCTGCAGGATGAGGAGATCTAACAGTAAAAGTTCCTAATTCTACCCATTCAAAGCCAATATAATAGAAAAAAATTGATCTAGAGGTCCAGTTAGACACTCTAGCTTAGAGAATAGCATCTCATAGAAATTAAAGAAGAAAAACAGATAGATGTCAAGAAAGGGATTGTAATTATGAATACCCGACTAATCCACAGCCAGAGCCCAGTTCAACAACTTTCTTCCCTTGAAGAGGTAGTAACTCCGCGTCTGAAGCATGCTCTAGAAACTTCCCCAATACAACTCCACTGTCCCACATGACAGCACCAGTGACCCCAGGTGTATTCTACAGTTCAATAACAAGTTGAATGCACAATAAAATTTCTAGAAGAATAAAACTTAAAAGTGAGTCCTCTAGCAGCTATCTTTTACATCACAGATCAACTGAAATAAAACGACGGTGGAAGCTTTAAAATAATCTATTATGTGACTCATCACCTAGTTAGTTTCATTACCATATTAAAAATTGAAGCCTAAACCTTCGTAAAACTAACTGACTAGGGGATACTTGTCCTAGCTCATGTGTCTCTTTATCTGGTTCAATAAACTGACCGAAAGGTTTGATTTCAATATTTTTAAGTTTGAAGGGCGAACCAAAATTACCTCCTCTTTGGACCAGAAATCATAGGCCTTGGGCATAGAGGATTGGATTGGAATGGACAAGCCACCATATTTTCAAAGTATGTTGAAGGAAGAAATAGAAAACTTGCGACCAAGTTGGAGGTAGAAGGTGGTTACTCATTTAGTAGAGTATACTGTCAGATTTGACGCTTGTCATTTTGTCCTACATCAAATGAAAAATAATTCTCGTCTACCTTCATCCATTTCAATCCAGTCCTAGAGAGAGACCAAGCATAATCTCCATAATAATGCTTCCAGAAACTAGCTACAAGAGTAATAAAGCCTCCGAATTACAACAAGCTAGACTTGTTGTGCTTGTTTCTTTCTTTCTTTCTTCTGGTTTTATGCCTCTACAATCTACATCTAGAATGAATGATATTTTGCTAAGAATTCTGTAAAGTGACTGAATCACACTGAAAACAAAGTTTTGAAGTTGACAAGAAGAAAGAGGCATTGCAATGAAGAAAGAAAGAAAGGAATAAAGATTAGAGATTAGAGAGAGATACCAAGGAAGAAGGGGACTGGAAAATGGAGAGTGAATGGCCACACGCATCCAGTTTCAGTTCAAGACAAGCTTGAGAGACGAAAGCGTTTGGCTTGGAGAGAGTTGGCTGTTGGATTCCCCACAGCAGCATTATCTCCTCCGCAGCTGCTTCATACGAACACTGTTCCTTTTCTTTTTCTTCTTCCTCTTCCTCTGATTTCGCCGTTGCCGTCACCGTCAGCAGCCTAACCATTCCTCCGTACGATCCCATCCTAACCATTCTTTCTTCTTCTTCTTTTAATACTACTTCTTCAGTGCCAGTGGCCATGGCTACGGTAGAACAGGAGAGGGGGCGACGGCGGCGGCCAGGCGTTGGTGATAAAAAAATGAAAATCAAATACGCCTGCCTGCGGGTTTCGTTTTGACGTGGATTTATTGAGGGAGAAATATTCAGCGGCGAATTTAAGGCAAGAGCTCACCGGAGGAAGCAGCAGTCGTTCGAATCGCTTGAATTTTGGGAATTTTATTTGAAACCGGATAACCCTTTTCCACCCCGAATTTAAACTTTAAATGGAAGTTATCTTTCTTACCGTGTTACATAATTATCGACGGGATAAATTGAATCATAAAACCAAATTTTATCAATAAATTCACGTCTAATAATTAAACAACCACAACTCAATTTTGATCTTACATTCATTCTATCTAAAGCCTTAAGACGCTGTAACGCCCTCATAGATAAAAATAAGTTTTTTATTTTATTTTTATCAATGGATTATAATTTTGAAATTTTGAATCTTTCAACTAAGGTATAAATCGATTTCTACTTTTTGTTTGTTTTAATTTTTTTAGGATTTAGGAACAATATCAGCATCTCTTCCACAACATAGTCATTCGCAGAAACATATATGGGATATAAATTTTTAAATTTTTTTTAATCATCTATTTGGGATTAAGCAAAATCAGCAAGATGAAGGATTAATTAAAACACCTATGGGATTAAGCAAAATCAGTAGATGCAGGATTAATTAAAACACCTATGGGATAAAGCAAAATCAGCAAAAGAATGATTAAGCACAAGATAAATATGTGAGAGAAATTGCTCTCTTTACACCGTGAATGAGTTGCATTGATTTGGGGTTTTTATTTTTTAAAAGGGTGTAAAGATAAATTTATATATTAAATTGAGTTTGTGAGGGTAATTTAGGTAGTAAATTGGATTAAAAAAGATATTGATAGTTTAACTAACAGTAATATGGGTGCATAAAGATATTATATGTTCAAATAAAATTGGGAAATACCCAAAAATAGAACATTTTTTAATCTTGGGATAGAAATAGCGCAAACTAGCGATGCACAAGCCATGCACAAAATCGAAATTACTAAAACACCCACATATAAATACTAAAACTCATCAACCCATTGCATAACTTTTCTCATTTGGAAGAAAGGGATGTGGGTTGAGCTCTAATTTTAAAGAGATGGAAGTCCAAAGAGAGGTGAGAATAGTGAGTTGGGTTTTGGGTTGATCTCATACCTCTAATTTTGAACAAAGGGATGCAAAAGAAAGAGGTGAGATGAGTGAGCTCAGTTTTGCACCATATTTTCTATTTTGGCTAGAAAGTTCCATTTTTTCCAGCGATTGAAGCTTCGGCATGCATAGTAAGGTAGGGTGTTTAGTTTCAAGTTTCTACATCAATGATTTATGGAATAAATAGGTTGTTTGTAAGATGAATTAATACTTAGAAGTTAATTAGGGTTTGTGTTTCATGTTGGGGCCTATAGGTTGTGACATAAACTTTACTTTTTCACATGCTACAGAACTGGGATGGAACAATTTCTGGTTCAAGTGTTCAAATGCAGAAATTTGTGAAATTTTTTCCATAATGTGCATATGGTGTTGGTGGCTACAACTTAATATGAGAAGGGGAAATGTTCATTAATTATAATGCATGTATATTGGACCCCCGAATTTAGCGAGTATGACCACAACCTCTCGGCGAAAAATAAAATTAAGAAAAAACTTAGAGGACGTTAAGGGTCATGCGTGTCCATGAAATTACGACAATGAGTGTCATATTTTCCAAGTGCACTGTTAAGTGGTGGTTGATATACATAACAAGACTTTTTCAAACTGCCATTGTAACTTTATATACATAACAATTATATTTTAATTGTATCTACCATACCAATAGATTGTCATTAAAGTTTCTTATTAATGTGAAAAGCAGCTCGTTGCTCGACCTCCAATTATGTGCATATGATGCTCATGTACTGTATATATGATGTGCATATGGCGTGCATATAGTGTATATGGTGGAGATGTCATAGGTGATGATGTTATTTTTCTAATTTCGAAGAGATCGTTGTGAGCTATGAGTTTTTAGGTTGGCTCACATCTATGTCATGTGCATGTCACTTGAAATAGATGACTTTTAATGGGATTTCCAAAATCTAGGTTCCAGTCAAAGATTTGTAAACTACATATCTCTAAGGGATTTTCGGAATATAGGCCCTTACATATCCTCCAACGCCGTTAATTGCACGATGCACGTCTACAACAAAATTGACGTCATTGCAGGTATTGATACATATAACAAATTTGGGATTTTCTTCGAACTTAGAGGGAGAAGGCGTTCATCGGCGGAGGAGAAAGAGAGATATTGCAGCAGAAAAAATGGTGTCTTTGGTTTTTCATAATGGATTTTCTTCAACATTTGAAATTTTTTGGACTGCAGATTGGTTTTGACCCAGATGGGTTTTGAATGGGATTTCGAATTTGGGGAAGAAGATGATGATTTGAGGAAGAAATCCCCAATCTGCAACTGCAAGCACATAAATGTGTTCATTTCCTAAAAGGGCCAATCAGCAAACACAAACAATCTCCAAATAAATCAAATCTTCCAATTGGGTTTTCAAATTTGGGGAAGAAGATGATGATTTGAGGAAGAAATCCTCAATATGCAACTGCAAACACATAAATGTGTTTATTTCCCAAAAGGGCCAATCAGCAAACACAAACAATCTCCAAATAAATCAAATCTTCAAACTGGATTTTCCATTATCTTTCACTGATATAAGAACATCCAATCAATATCAATTTTAGAGAAAGAGGGAGGGAGGGGGAGAGAGAGAGTAGATAGAGAGAGAAATCAAAAAATGAGAGGAAATAACTCATTTACATGAATTTGATCATTTCAAGATGTAGGAAAAATCATATTTTTGTCTGATTGTTGGGCATGCCATGTGCATATTCAAAAAATCATATTTATGTCCCAAGATTAAGAAAGTGTCCTATTTTTAGGTATTTTTCCCAACGTATAAAATGTCTTATATATCATGGGTAACTTTGTCATTTCAAATGATAAAATGACAATTTTAACAAGAGTAAATTGTAGCAATTGTCTCTCAACTAAAAATCTATTACCATTGGTCCCTCAACTCATCAAAACGTGTAGCTATGATCATTTTCATCAACTCCGTCATAATTTTGTCAAAATGAATTATGTTGGAAGGACCATTACTCCAATTAGGTTAAAATTGAGAGACCATTGATACAATTTTTCTTATTTGATTTTTCATATTTGCCCCTTGATTTAGTCTCACGTGCTTGGCACGTGACTCATTTTGACGGAAATTTTAACGGAGTTGACGAAAATGATCATATCTGCACGTTTTGATGAGTTGAGGGACCATTCGTAATGGGATTTTAGTTGAATGATCATTGCTTCAATTGAGTTAAAGTTGAAAAACCATGGCTACAATTTACTATTTTAACAATTTTAAGAGAATTGGGTTCCGATCAAATTGGCAACAAGAATTCATTTTTTTAATTAGTTTGGCCAATTTCGCTAGTACAAATCCTCTATATCAAATATTGAATCAAACCACTATGGTGCATGTTTACTCGTTTAGAATGAGACATATCATGAATGTATTAAAAGGTTGACTAATTAGGACTCTTGATATTCGGAGATGGTCCCTTAAGTTTTCAAATCAAGCTAATATCCCTGGTAACTAAATGTTTGGAAGTTTAGCCACTTAATACTACGGTCTAGTGGTATTTCTCCTCACTTGTAAGTGAGAGGTCTCAGGTTTGATTCTCGCCAAACGTAAATTTGAACCACATTATTGGTAGCCCATTGTGAGGCTTAGCCTACCCCCCTTCCCTTTAGTATAAATAATATCGTTTGTTCAAAAAATGTTTAGAAGTTAAACAAAAAAATGTTTGAAGTTCAAAACTCACAACTAAAACCCATCGAACTAATAAATCGAGTTTTAGGATCCAAATCCGAAACCCGAGTCCAGCAGAGATTAAGTTAATGCAAATTGCAATTTTGAAGTAAACCATTTACCACTTCGGTAAACAGGTCTTTATGTTATCTCTTCCAAATGCAGTCATCGTGAAACCATAAGCACATAAGAATAATACTTGCAATGAATCCGCAGGCAGTCTGATTCATTGTGTCAAAGAAGTATACGAGGTAAGTTGCCAGTAGAACTCATTTCAATGGGTCATGATTACATGCTTAACAAACCAGGGGAGCCAAGTGTACATAGTGTGAAATGTTATTCAATCTCAATCTGTAGCGGGGATTCTCCTGCTGGTTTTAACCCGTCAGCAACAATTTCTTCCTCGGTGATTCCAGTGGCTTCCACAGTCCTTGAAACCCAATCCTTGAGTGGATCTTCATTCAAATCAAGCCGTAAAAGACCAGCGAACATCCCTCCCATGAAGGCAACTGGCTCCTACATGATGAGATAAGCAGAGAAAATCATGGTACTAATATTGTACCATTTACATACAAAACAATGCGCATTCTCATAGGAAATCCTCTATCTACTCGCACATACCATAGAAAACACTGTAGAAGCATAGAAGGCCGAACAAATGGGAGATACGGTCAATTAGTGACTCATATGTCATAAGAGACTGATCAAAGAGTTACTTTTTGTTTTACCAAAGCAAACATTGAAGTAGCATGCGATCTTGCTTTTAGAAGATACTGATACAATCCAAATACGGACCAGGCAAAATATAATGCAGTGATTTCATAAGTGAACATGAGATGGTGCAATGAAAGAGGAAATCGTCTTTCAAAAAAAGACATGAAGTGATTCAAAAATTTCACAAGGATGAAGCTAGGAATATAGAAGAGCAACTTTAGCTGTACAATAACATATCAAAGGTGGGTTCAACGGGTTTTTTTTCTTTTAAATTTAATTTTTATTGAGCAATAACGTAAAGGAAAAAACAAGAATCGATAGAGCAAAGCAAATAATAAGATTCTAAGAATGAAAGCTTGAGGCCCAAAGGGCTCATAGTAAAATTTTTCATCCGATGCACATATGCATAAGAGAGAGAGAGAGAGAGAGAGAGAGAGAGAGAGAGAGAGAGAGAGAGAGTAGATTCGGTATTACGAAAAATGCAAGAATCAGTTGGCAAAAATCTAACCTCTCGGAAACCGTAAAACATCCTCACAAAATTATAGAAAAAATCAGCAAATAAAAGAAAACCATACAAACGCGTAGACCAAGATCCAAGGTATCAGATAAATCAACAACACATAGATTCCAAACATCATTCAACCAAATTACGCATGGGTAATCTATGAATTATTGAAAAAATGGGCGTTGGGTGCGGACAGAGGTAGTAGTAGGTGAAACAAGTACCTTAAGCGCTTCTCTGAGGATGGGTTCTTCGTTGGGATTGAAGAAAAACGCCTTAATCCCATTGCCGTTCCCCAAACGCAATTTTCTGCGGCTGCTGCTTCTGGGAACCTGCTGCTTCGGTGATGTCGGTGGTTTAATAAACCCAGGGCCAGGCTTCTTCGATTTCCACTGTTACCCAATTGTCAATTACTCATCAAAATTGATTAGCAGATGAGTAAGAATAGAAAAATGAAAAGTTCGGGCCTGTTGGATTATTCACTCACCAGTGCACACGAAGGAGAATTCACAATAAACACAGACATGTTGACTAACTTGAACTCCTGGTGCTGTCTTCTCGTGTTGATGGTTCTGGTTCTTATTCCCCACTGGTAGTTGTTTGCCCCTCTCTCTCTCTCTCTCTCTCTCTCTCTCTATTTTAAGGCCATTTCGCTTCATACAAAACTCGGGGGTTGTGAACAATGAACATGGTACTCTTCGGAACCATGTGTTCTAATCTATCAAATTCATGTATTGAGTCATTGAAATTTGATCCAACGATTAAAGTTATTATAATTTTTAAATGAGTCTTTATTTGTAATCGTTAAATCAAATTCCAACAGCTCGAATACATGAATTTGATGAATTATGATACATGAATCCGGAAAGGACCCATGTCCGTACACAATTACCCTGCCAAGTTACCGTAACGTAAATTCACAAGTACAGAATTTTCTGTTATCTTAAGTGAGAGGTCCTGATTTCAGAAGTTCTAATGAATTTTGGAATTGGTTTCCTTTCTCCACCAAACCATGACAAGCCCATTTAAAGATGGATGTACCAGCCCAACTTTAGCTCCCGGTTTGATCCGTTCTAATTGCTGACCCTACCACAAAGGGGATGCACAAGCCCATTTGTTTACAAATATTTTATTTTAACCACCTCACCTGTACCATCGAAGTCATTTTGATGGACTTGGATTATTTGCCATCTCCATCTCATATCATTTCTATGCCCTCCTATTTTTGTTAGTTACGGTTAAGCTACGTCAACATTTTATATTTTCATTACTTTTTGTCTTATTATTTGTATAAAAAAATAAATATAAAATGTTGATGTGGCTTAAATGTGACCAAAGAAGATGAGAGGGTATGGAAAGGGTATGAGATGAGGAGGGCAGACAATCCAAGTCCCATTTTGATTCCTTCTTCCACAATATTAGTTGTATGAAACAAATTCTCTTTCATTTTCACACTGGTTCTCATGATTTGATTTCTATATGTAGGAAGCAAACATATTAAAGTTGATTTTTACATCACAATTGTTACAATAAGTAAAAGTTTAATAGAAGTAGATTTTGTCTAGTAATTGTGAGACTCATATAATTTTTAGTTGATGAACTAAAGTAGCAATTTGGCTAAAATTCAAAAACCAATTAATACTCCAATTTTCCAAAAAAGAAAAGAAAAAATAACATAGGTGTGGGTGTGTGGTGAAAGACCACCCATAAAATAATGCAACGGTTAGGTGAGGAGATCCTTTACCAACCACCCCCACCCCCAACACCCCCAGGGAAGTGCTCGACTTCAACTGCCGACTCCTCCAACCTCGTCTCCGCTTGCTTCTTGTTGATTAACGATTGAAAAACAAAGTTGTGAGTTGAGCAGATGTCTTTGCCTACTTCCACTTCCATAGAACAACCACAACCCCGTGTCCATGATGTCGATGTCGATGTCATCACCTGCAAAGGTATGTGTTATATGTTTGTTAATTTCTACAACTAAAGTCAAAATCAAATACGAAAATACTTACTCATCTGTTTTTATGTTTTGTGAAAATCCAAATCCAAATCCAAATGAAAATGTAAAAGCAGCCGCGGTGGCATGGGGAGCTGGACAGCCTTTGGTGATAGAGCAAGTGAATGTGAGTCCACCTCAGCCAATGGAGATAAGGATCAAAGTTGTATGCACCTCTCTCTGTCGCAGCGACCTCTCTGCCTGGGAGTCTCAGGTATTTCGTCTTCTTTCTTATTCTTCAAATTTTTATTGACTGCTCGCAGTTATTTAAGTTCTGTTATTTTAAATGCAGACTATCTTTCCTCGGATATTTGGTCACGAAGCAACAGGGTAAGTTATTTCTCTATTTTCCTTTTCATCTACTTATATATTATTATTATTGTTGTTGTTGTTGCTGCTGCTGCTGTATGATATGAATATGGTGATATTAGGTACTAACCTAACCAATAGCAATATTATTGCAGGATTGTCGAGAGTGTTGGTGAGGGGGTGACTGAATTTACTCAAGGTGACCATGTGCTAACAGTGTTCATTGGAGAATGCGGGAAATGCAGGCAATGTGCATCAGGTAAAACCAACATTTGTCAACTCCTGGGGCTCGAAAGGAGAGGCTTAATGCACTGCGATCAGAGGACACGCTTCTCTATAAATGCCACCGGGGAACCCGTTTACCATTATTGTGCAGTTTCAAGTTTTAGTGAATATACTGTGGTGCACTCAGGATGTGCTGTCAAAATCAGCTCACTTGTGCCTATGGAGAAAGTATGCCTTCTCAGTTGTGGAGTAGCTGCAGGTAGAGTTCCAAGTCATGTTGATATTGCCATGAGATCACACACACACACACGATATATGCACACACACACATTACACACACACACACACACACACACACACACACACATATATAGCTCAGAGGGTTTAAGTAGAGGAATGCAATTTCAGTTTATGATAGCCCTCACATACCCCTACGTGTACATCTATGTAGCTGTACGTGTAATGGTAATGACAATTCTTGGTCAAGGAAAAATATTTCTCATATGTGTCATGTATGGATACAAATTTTCAGGCTTGGGTGCAGCTTGGAATGTTGCTGATATATCTGATGGATCAAGTGTGGTGATATTTGGTCTTGGGACAGTAGGCCTTTCTGTAAGTACAGCTTTGCCTTTACCGTTACAGTAGGCCTTTCAAAAATGACAGGAGCAGCAATGCAGCATGTAATTCAAACCATCATTGTTTCTTGTGTGATAGGTTGCACAGGGTGCAAACCTTAGGGGAGCATCTCAAATAATTGGTGTTGATACTAATCCTGAAAAGGGTGAAAATGGTAATATTTGGACAGATGTTTTCTTCTATCTGACTCTCGAGTTATATGTTAAATAATGATGCTCTTACTGGTACACAGCCAAAGCTTTTGGAATTACAGAATTTATCAACCCAAATGACAGCAAAGAACCTATTCAACAGGTAATTCTGACCAAACCATAGATGCATCCCCCTCCCTCAATTTAAACTTATTATCAAAGAAATACATTAATAATAATTAAATAGTCAGCGTGACAGATTGTTGGAACTTGGTGGTAGATTGAATTGGGTGATTGGAATTCTACAGTAAGGAACGATAGTGGATCAACTTGCATTTCATTTGGCTTGAAACTTAAATGTGAGCTAACTTTCTTTCAGGTTATTAAGCATTTGACAGGCGGAGGAGCAGATTACTCATTTGAATGTATAGGTGACACTGGCATGGTAACTACTGCATTGCAGGCATGTTGTGATGTAAGTTTCTTATATGTCATGGTTTCCTTTTGTTTTTCAAGCATATCTCATTAATTTTGTGTATAAATTGATGAAGTTCTATTCATTCCACTTGGCCTTTTTTTATCTGGTGTTTGCTTGAAGGGATGGGGTTTGACAGTTACACTTGGTGTGCCAAAAGTGAAGCCCGAAATAACAGCTCATTATGGAGCATTTCTTACCGGAAGACATTGAAGGGGTCGCTATTTGGAGGATGGAAACCTAAATCTGATCTCCCTTCCTTAGTAGAAATGTACACGAAAAAGGTAATTGAACTGACTAAAATTCCACTGAAGCTTCAAGAAAGAATATCATCTAATATGAAGTGTCCTTTTACCTTTCATTATGGTAGAATTCATTTTGTCCTCATGTAGTTGGGTAATCTGCAGACCATCTTTGGTCCTAGCATTCTGGTAGTTACCAGAAAATGCAACAGGGCATGCCTAACCAATAGAGCTTTTTGTTAACACTTTAGCATGTCTTAGTTTGATAAATATCTAATGTCTCAATGATTCAAGGATGATCATGAAAATATTATATTAGTTCTCTTTTCTTATCAGCTGTTTCCTTCTTGTCCTGTTTGTCATGACCGATCGGCAGTCCTGATTCCTCTGGTTATGAAAAAGCTTTTGCTTGAAGAATTATGAATCAACAAAAAATACACGGAGCCAAATAATTTGAAATATATGTTTTGTTAACTTGAAAATGCAGGAAATCCAAGTTGATGAGTACATAACACATAACCTGCCATTTGAAGATGTGAACAAAGCTTTCAATCTCATGCGAGAAGGCAAGTGTTTGCGTTGTGTCATCCACATGGAAAACTAGTTTTCCCTTGTTTGGTCACCTTGGTCCTTGGTAGAACAAGAGCACAAATTGCCTTGCTACGTCCTACATGCGAGATTTGATTGTTCGATCGTTGTTGTGATCAAGTTTTATCTACTCGTGGAGGATTATTATCCCTTCCCTTGGAAGTTGGAAGGCTAACTCGAGTAACTGTAACTGTAATTCCTTCCTCCCCCAGCTGGTTAAACATTATTGTAAACTGTTCACTGCTGCAATATTTACAGACATAAAGAACACAATCAATATGCATGTATCCACTTGGTGTGACATAAAGACATTATTTATTTATTATCTTGGGTGTAAGAGTTGAGACGAGACTTAATCCACCAACCGTATTAATCGCTAATTACAGTGTTCATGCCCGAGAATCGGATTGGAGATTCTTTGATTTGTTGTCTGGCAATCAATGAATTGATCTTGTAGTTCAAGAAAAGACATTGTTGATGCACAAAACCGGAAGGTCTTGAAACAACGTAAATCCGGCCGTGAATCATGCAAACGCCCAAAAACACAAAGATGTATCGTGGTTCACCCCAATGTTTGGGCTACGTCCACACTGATGTTGATTGTATTTCTCTGTATGTATGTATGGATTACAAATGAGAGGGGAAATCCCCCAGAGAAAGAGAGTGTTGTCTCTAAGTTGTTTGAGACTTGTATGTTTTGGTGTATCCCCGAGTTTGATTTGTGAGGGGGGAGGAGTCCCCTTTTATAGAATACGGGGCTCCTCCTTTTACATAATTATGGGTTGGGTAATGAGGCCCAATGTGTCAAAGTCTGAGGCTCAATATGTGTGGTACCAACAGACACAAAGTTGAATAATATATACATATGTGAATATATTATCAATCTAATTCATAGTTTTCTCTATTTTCTGGATGAATTCCAGAATAGTAATAGAGTGCATTTTTTCTTGTGAAATTTGACCTTGTCAGTCCTTATACCCGCGTTACCGTTTCGCTGACTTTCAACAAACAAATTAACTACTACACCCTTGAATTTGTAACAGACAAGGAATGAAGGCAACCAACCAAGGAATTATTCTTATTTGATTGCTTATTAACTTCGATTAGCTGAACCACCACACATACATTATACACATTGGCGCTGTACGTGTAAATTGTGATATCTTGTCGTTGTGAGTAGGTGAGGAGGGTGATCTGTGATCAGGCATTTTTTCTCCCCAAAAAGTCGTAGGAATTATTTTTAGGAAAGGCTGGAGGACCATACGCAAATATTAGGAAACCCACACTTATTTATATACATGGACCGGAAGCGTAGACTTGAAGAGTTGTATCCTCGGTGGCATTTTGTTTCGAAAGTTAACAATAGAGATGTCTGATCACCAGAGAGTTAGAGTTCATCCTGCTGGAGATGTGGAGGCACCACCAACAGCACTGCCGCCTGTGCCTCCGGTGGTGCCACTGCACGGACACGGTTCATCATCATCGACTACAGAGAAAGAGAAAGAGAGAGCGACAGAGAAAACAAAGCTGCTTCAGACGAATAATCACTCTGCTCCTTTACAATTACCAGTAGTAGGACGTACCATTAATACTGTAATCCAAGCAAACCCACCAAAAAAGAGAAGCTCATGTACATTCTGCAGATTCATGTGGTGGACAATGGGCATCCTTCTCCTTGTATTGATCATAATAGGAGCCACCGCTGGCATACTTTATCTTATCTTCCACCCTAAACTTCCTAATTACTCGGTTGATAGCTTGAAGATCAGCGACTTAACGCTCAATTTGGGCATGACCTTATATGCTAAATTCGATGTCAAGATAACAGCCAATAACCCAAACAAGAAGATCGGGATTTACTATGAGAAAGGTGGCCGGTTGAGCGTGTGGTATACAAACACGAGGCTTTGTCAAGGGATGCTACCGAAGTTTTACCAAGGTCATCAGAACAAAACACTACTCAATGTGGACTTGACAGGCCAAACGCAATACGGAATCACTTTGATGAATGCACTGCAACAGCAACAACAAACCGGACGCATCCCCTTGGATCTTAAGGTTAACGCACCAGTGGCAATTAAACTCGGAAAATTGAAGCTCAGGAAGGTGACCATCTTGGGGGAATGCTTGCTGGTGGTGGATAGCTTAAGTGCTAACAATTTGATTAGCATTAAAGCTAATAATTGTAGATTTAGAATGAAACTTTGAATTAATCTGGCAATACATCTACAATTTCGGGGATATGGGAGCTGTTTATTTAAATGTTTTTTGTCTGTTGCACTTTCTCTTCTTCCGTTCTTTCTTTCCATATGTATTTCAATCAATGCGGTTGCCTTTTACTTTTGATGTAAACATAGCAATTTTGAGTTGTGACAAAAAAAACATAGCAAATGAGCTCGCACAAAGACAAAATCACAACACGTGATGTTAGGATATAAGAGATTTTATATAAAATGGTATACAGATCTACATAGAGTGTTATTTACGTCATATCATGTATCCTACAATAGTTATAAATATATAACTACAAAGATTCAAGAACTGAGTGTATCACACAATCAGAACTTCAACTGACCTGCATGATCAGTTTATTCTGTAAGTGTTGATAGACGCAGAGAAAATAAAGGATGAGAATAATTTCTATACTCATTTCAAATAAGTAAACATCCAACCTTATTCTAGGCCATTTTCTTCTATTGTAATTTTGGAAATTTTCAATCAGTAAAGCAGGATAGTGTAAAAGCAAAAAGATAACAAGAGTTCGCATCTACCAGGAAAAAGATTGGCAACTTTATCTTGAAATTATATGTTTATATTACTCACTAATCATTATTATGCGTGATTTAGAGAGACCATTTACTAGAATTATGTTTTCTAGACTACATGATGTGGTGCTCAATAGTTGGATTCTTTTTTTAAATTATTAAATAAAAAATTCAATCATCAATCGCCACATCATGTGACTTACAAAATATAGCCTAAAACATAATTCCCCTAGCATTTTTCTTTATATTAGGCGGAGAAGATCTTGATTTTTGTCAAGGTCGTATATACTAAAAAGCTGCATATGAATTTATATTATTTCCCCAAAAAAAAGGCAACTCTTTCAGTACCAAATATATGGCAGAGTCACAATCAACAGTGTTGAGCCAATAGGAACCTTAATTTCTCTAGTTTCTTCCCTAGGAAATGAGAAATTACTTTCCAAATGTTCTTTCTTTTCCAAGAAAGATAAAGTTCTACAGAAATTCCCGTCAGTGTCTCGAAACACTCTTTCTAACTACGATTATGTAAACAAGGAAAGAAACTGAAACATCTACGAAAGAACTAGATTTCAATACTACATGATTTTGTAATTTTTGCTAGGTGATATCATCTGTAACTCCACGTTTCTGACCTATGGACACAATCAATTGAGCAAGTTTAGTCAGAGCAGTAGGAGATGAAAATATCTGATTCACATACGAAGCTCCAATCCCGACAACAACAACAACAACAACAAAGCCTTTTCCCACTAAGTGGGGTCGGCTATATGAATCCTAGAACGCCATTGCGCTCGGTTTTGTGTCATGTCCTCCGTTAGATCCAAGTAATCAAGTCTTTTCTTAGGGTCTCTTCCAAAGTTTTCCTAGGTCTTCCTCTACCCCTTCGGCCCTGAACTTCTGTCCCGTAGTCACATTTTCGAACCGGAGCGTCAGTAGGCCTTCTTTGCACATGTCCAAACCACCGGAACCGATTTTCTCTCATATTTCCTTCAATTTTGGCTACTCCTACTTTACCTTGGATATCCTCATTCCCAATCTTATCCTTTCTCGTGTGCCCATACATCCCACGAAGCATCCTCATCTCCGCTACACCCATTTTGTGTACGTGTTGATGCTTCACCGCCCAACATTTTGTGTCATACAACATCGTCGGCCTTATTGCCGTCCTATAAAAATTTTCCTTGAGCTTCAGTGGCCTACGACGATCACACAACACGCCGGATACACTCTTACACTTCATCCATCCAACTTGTATTCTATGGTTGAGATCTCCAGCTAATTCTCCGTTCTCTTGCAAGATAGATCCTAGGTAGCGAAAACGGTCACTTTTTGTGATCTTCGCTAGATTGCTCCGGTCATTAGTGTGGATAAGTATATAAATGGATAGAGATAGGAAAGCAAACACAAGATGTACGTGATTCACCCAGATTGGCTACGTCCACGGAATAGAGGAGTTCTCATTAATTGTGAAGGGTTTACACAAGTACATAGGTTCAAGCTCTCCTTTAGGGAGTACAAGTGAATGATTTAGTACAAATGACTTTAGGAAATATTGTGGGAGAATGATCTCGTAACCACGAAACTTCTAAGTCCCGGAGTGTGGTATCGGCTTGACTTTCCTTATCTGTCTCATAGGTAGATGTGGAATCTTCTCTGGAAGTACTCTCTTCTTCCATCCAGGGGTGGTATCTGTAACTGGTGGAGATGCACAAGGTAATGTATCAATGTCACTTGAAAGCTTACTTGTAGTTTCAGGCTTGGTCAAGCGCGATACAAACCATGTAGTAGGAGTCCCCCAAGTCGCCGAGCTAGGGGATCTGCTGAAAGAGGTAACAGACAAGGTAAGCAATCAGAGCTCCGGCTGATTGTTCACATTCTCCCTATCTTGCAGGCAGCATGAAGGATAAAGAGAAGAAAAATGAGAAAGAGATGATATGGGATACTTTTGCTTTTGAAGAAGTAACTTTCCACAGGCTTATTCTTGAACTGGGCTGGAGGGTTTTCTGGTTTCCTCCAAAGTATAAGGCCGACTGAAGAATTTGAGGGTCAAAACAAGTCCATCAAATCTAGAGTACGTTCGACCCTGCTGATATGGGGTACTTTTGCTTTTGACAGAGTAGTGGATGTATCGGCACGTGTGCTGTTACGCTTGTCTCCACATGCTTCCTTGTATCCTTCTCACTTGCCCTATCTGTTCCTCAGGCAGATGCGGTATCTTCCTTGGGAGCATAAGATGTTGAAGATGAGTACTCGAGAGCAATGCCAGGGTAAGGGGTTCCAGGCAGTCAGTTCCTGGCTGGAAGCTTGATTCCAAGTGCTGACTGATTGCTCTATTTCTCCTTATCTTGCAGGTAAGAACAAGGCCAAAGGAAAAGACAGGGAAAAAGCATGATATGGGATACTCTTGCTTTTAACCCTGATGATATGAGATATTCTTGCTCTAGTATAGCTTGTTTACAGAGGTATTATCGGGGGGAAAGAAAGCTGAATATTTCGAAAGGCTTCGTTGGGAGTGCCCTCTCAGATAAGAGGAAGGGTTGAGCATTTTTGCAGGTCTGCCTGTCCGTTGGGGATGGAGGTCGAC